AATCCCTTGCTCCCCACGTCCTTGACGTATGTTGTTCTTGCTGCTAACTCCCTCATATTGTGCATCATTCCCTCATTGCCATTCTGCTCACCCCCATCACCCTTGGTGCCGTCATCATTCATCCATTGCATTCCACTTCCAATATATATCCTTGTTAAATTTACATCACTGCAACTTATCGAACAATTACACAACAGCTGTTGAGACTGACAGTCTTCGAATTGCCAATCTGGGTTACTAGTTTAAAGGCGCAATTTAGCAAATTTTGCCAATATGGATACTCACTAAAGACTTCAATATTTTCAATACAAATTGCATGGTATTTATGCCATCCGTGCGCACAAGAAGCCACGTAATGCAGCTTACAACAGTAAAATGTAGCTTTATCAATAACAAAATGTAACAGACATTCTCCGCCTTCCGCTGCTTTGCCGTGGTCAAGCCTTTGTTCTAAATCAAGGACTTTGCGTGGTAATACATAGTGTTCCTTTGGAAATCGCGGTAACGCATCGCCTCTTACCCGCAAACTCTCGCCACAATTCGGGTAGAATGCATGGGCAATGCTCACGAGAAATCCATCCATTGCTTTGCTGCCAGTAAACTATATGTTTCCGTCTTCTGACTTGCTGGTAACCTTGCGGCATATGTTCGTCATCAAATCAACCACGTTTGAAAATTTCTGGTTTATATATTTCATTCATTTCAATGCCACCTGATTTGCAATTTGAACAAGAAATTGAGATAAACAATTCATGCAACTCATACTAGCCAAGTCAGAAGAGACGTCTGATTGTAAATTTGCATTGGGAAGCCATGCGCATGCTTCATGATGCAATGAAAATGGAGGCAAAATGGAGTGCACAATGACTGTAAAGTTGCTTCATGGAATACATGATCATATAGCGATTACCATGTCTTAAGTAATGCATTAAATTTCTTTTAAATTACACACCACCCAAATTTACGTGTCAGTTTTACGTTGTTTGTTTCTTTTCAATTGTTTCTACATTGTTGGTGGGCATGGGCGCGCGCGGGAGGGGGGGACGGCCCGGGGGGGACGGGGCTAATGGCGGCGAAAAATGCAACTTATAAAATTCTATTCTTTATGGTAATTTACCAGAAGTACTAAGTAACAGAGTTACTAGGTCTTTCTATATCAGTCGGTGGTCCCAAATTTGTCTAAAAAAATTGGAAGTCGACATTCAAATTGATATTTAACTTCAATGAGCTAGATATTTCACGTATGCAGTAAAAATTCAAAAGAAATTTAGTATTGAAGATGAAGCCTGGAATAATGATTTATTGAAGGCAGAACTGCTGGTATGGTATGCGACATTGTCCACATAACATGGGTGAAATTTACAAAAGAATCAGATTAAATAATGAAGACAGCACAAATTTTAACGTGGAACAGTCACACTTGATTATTGCAGAAGTACTCTGCCCCATGAAAACTCAACTCCGCAAGAGATTCAATGAATTTGAAACTCATTATTTCCAATCATGTCATGGAGAGAAACAGGGTAGCTCAGTTGTCGCAGTTGGCACAACAGTGACCAAAAAGACCAAGCCTCATTACAAACTACTATGTTACTCGAATTGACTGGAATATTGAAATTTATATATCAATCTCATGAAATGAAATAACCACGCGAAAATGTTGTGTAGATTATAATATACTATATGGTGCAGTGCTGAAGCAATTTTATTAAATCAAGCATGAAACAGCATTAAAGTAAAGGACAACATAATGTAACTCTTGTGTGGATCATGCAAAAGACAATTTGTTGTAAGCTACAGAGAAATGCTTGAATGCGAGTTTTTTCTGTTGCTATATCCATAAATATATGCACAACTTGTAATTGTGTTCCGAAGGAAATACACAACACTGGCAAATGCTTCCTCTGTCCCATTTGGTTGTCCACTATGATTTTGGGGCCTTGCGTCCCAGTCAAAGAGACTTCGGCTTTCCGCACAACTTTGTCTAAAGTTGTGCTCATGAATTTTGAGTACATTGACATAAAAACAGGCGAACATGTTAGATTAACATTGCTGATTTAGCATCTCTTTGTATCAAGGGCATTTTGGTTTGTACCTAAAAAATTGCCCGCACCCAAATGAAGAAAATTTATGTTTCGCCCAATACTCGCTGTGGTCGGGGCTGACTTCTTTTTCTTGTAAATTGGCATTTCAGTGTTTCGGGACCCAATCATTGTGATCCTGACATTCTTTACTGTTAAAATCCTTTTATCTTACAGAAATTCATGATTTACTAGATATCAACTACTACGGGACAGAGGAAGCAATTTAAAATTATGTTTGCAATGTTGTGACTTGCAATAGCCTTTAATGGGTTTTATGGAGGGTGGGTTGGGGGGTTGGGAGCCTTGCAATGGAAGGCTACGTGCGGCGATTGGGCAGGCGTTTGGCGAGCGATTATCAGCAGCTATGCACTGTTAAAGGACACGCTTAAATGCGTCCAATGTCGTGAAGTTGTGGATCGTGCATATTCAGTATGGTCATCTCAAATATCCTCTTGAGTAGTGCTGCCACCATGTCACAGCCAGTGCCAGCATCTCTAAAGAACTTCAAACCACTGGATTGAATTTCTTTAGATTAATTGACAATCAGCATCAAGAATTGCACAGTTTCCCTGTACCCACCCTAATAGAGCTATAGTTAAAACCACCTAATCCCGGGCGCTTCTCTGCATTGTTTTTCTTCATTCACTGCTTATAAATAGTAATACTAATAAAAGTAGTGCCCCAACTTGGCTTCGATGCTCACCTGAACATGTTGTACCTGGAATCTTGGGTCTGAACCCAGTGTCTGCCTCCACATCGGCGCACCTCCGCGGCCTCGCGCAGAACCCGGAGGCCGCCACCCACACCTCGGGCTGGCCCACCGGGGCCTGCCCTGTTTCCGCCGGCCCGCGCCCCTCCCATTGGCCAAAGTGTGGTCATGATGTGACTGGCGACGATGAGGGGACATGGAGGTAACAGACGAATGCAGCGGCTGCAAATGCACCTGGTGTCCCCAGGATAAAGGGAGAAGGCCCATGAAGGGTGTGCGAGGGCGGTGGCGGCAATCATGTAGTTGAATCGTTGTGACAGAGGGGACACTGGGACAAGAATGGACATACTGTGCAGTTGGGTGGCGACATAGCCCTCGGTGGTTGAACGCAATTCATGGAATGTCATCATCATTATTATCATCATCATCATCATCACCAGAGTTTTTTTTTGTTGTGGACGCCGCCGCTGCAATGTGGTACAGACCTAGGGAAGGATTTTATGCATGTGCGCAGACAGAATGCTCACGAAGTCCAAGACGCTCTTGACAATAGGCTCTCCATGAACTTTGCTCTCTGCTATGAACTTACACTGACATGCCCCATTATTGTTGGTCGTGCACAAAGGTGGTGTTTGTGTATGAGTCTGTCATTTTAATGTGGACACCCAGCTGGGAATTTCGTTGCGTATGCAAGAGTAGGCTTCCTATGCCCAAGAGCAACATGCACATGCACACGAAACGGGCATCCCTGCAAAATAGGCACTACCTACGTCGCAGAAATCCACGGCCCGCACAATACACAATTTGCTGGTTGCAACCTTTTCATAAGCACCACCGTCTCACCGACCTTTAGGTTAGCATACACCTTGTTGAGGCCATCGCCAGAATGGGACAACCTGCAGTGTCCAAGCCAGTAGTTTGCCCAGCAAGCGCATGCCGGACTCTGGCGGGTGCCGCTCCACATCGAAAGCACATATGCCCAACTTTTTGGGCACAGACAGCCGAGCTCCAGTGCAATAGTTCACACAATTCGTTGCTGAATGCATGGTGAAACGCACTGGGTATTTGCGATGCGGATTCGTCATCTGAAGTCAAAAAGCGCACCCCCCGGGACACTTGCTCCAGTTCCTTACTGCAGACTCTGACGACTGAGTGAAGGCAACTGGGTTAACAGACGATCGCAACAGCATATGTGAATATGGGGGAGGGGGGAACAGCAAAGAGGACGTCCACGTCCCTACAGAGGTTGAACATCATGTGCCTGCCCCAAGAACGTACAAACCGCCAGCTCGAAGTCTTATCATCCGAAGTGCCACTAGCTTGTAGGCCCCAAGCCTTTTCTGTTGCTTTGCAGACCCTGGCGTGCTGGAGAACATGACAGTCCTCAAATCGGCACAGCCGCCGGCAAATGCACAAGAGCCGCAGCCTTCAATGCTGTCAATATGCTCTGTAAACAGCATTCTTGCACGGCGTGACACGCAGTCCTGCCCGTCTTGTGGATCAACAGGCTGGCAACTCTTCATGACGACAGCATCTGCCCATGCTGTCCACCAGTGCCACACGCAATCAAATGAATTACACACATCAGCCCCCCCAAATGGAAGTGTATGCTGCAACGCGCGTGACGACCCGAGGCTGCGCTCATCGAGGCCAGTGACTCAGTTACGGGATGGCAGCCAGCATTGCAAATGATGTGCCATGCTGTTTGACAAAGCCACAAGTGCCGCTTCGTTCGATTCCACGATCTACTGCCACCTGCCCACTTCCTCAACACGTCTTTAGGACGGCAGGATGGTGTCTACCATTCCAATCTCGAGCATGTAGCGCAACACAATGGCCATATCGGTCAAAAGCCGCCTGTGGGTGACTAATAGCAGACAAGTACCAAATACACAAGATACTGTACCCGGACAGCCTCCCTAATTGGTGCATTGCTACTCGCATACTACCCATTCCTACCCCGACTTCAATTTTGATTCTTTCCAAAGGCAATTTCGCTCGCTCTAAGGTGCAATTTCCAAACCCCTGAGAAAAATTCCACAGCTCACACAGGTCTGGGGGGTTCCTCAGCAATGCACAATCGCCAACATTCGTGCACCAGGAGCATGTTAGCAGGCGGCCAAATGGGGCCAAGCCGTGCCATGGCAAACCTGCCTCTTTCTGGGCACTTCTTCGCTCAGAGAATCAAACCAGTCTGGTGAAAGGCATCATTCCTCCATGACCAGGCTCTGCTGCCTTTCCAGGAGCACGTCACCCAGGGGCTGGAAATTTGAGGGGTCCTGTGGAGGCTCCTTGCCGACCTCCCTTTCGCACACCGGAACGTCTGCTGGGAGCATCTTCTTGGTGAACCAGTCCAGCATCGCCTGAGACTCATGGGGCCCTTGGACGTCTCCGCTCGTGCCGATGTAGAACCACACCTTCCCCTCCATTGGAGAGAACAGAGCTGAAGCTGCGGGGACCAACAGGTCGTGTGCATCCTTGGGCGCACTGGTTAAAACCTGTGACAAGTCCCCCAAGGCAAGCTGTTCAGTTATGCAGACCACTTGCATCACGTGGGCACTCGATCCTGCGGCATGCAGGTTGGTGCATTGCTTCTGCAAAGCACTATCAATCAGGCTCATATCCTTGTGATACAAAGCAAACATTTGTAAGCATCAATCTGTCACTTTTAAGTTCCTCCAGTTACTAAATTGATTTGAGTGTATTCAAGGACCTACAAATGCCTACGTCTGCACTGCAGTGAGTCTTGCACCAGCTTTTGCTGCAGCCCAGTTGCTTCACAGCAGTTGGAAGCACACGTAACAAACTGCACGAGTTTGACTCAAAGCAAGCACACCAGTCCATGGACTTATCGCTCCGCTGCCCCCTTGTCTGGCATCGTTTCTGGCCGTATTGATCTCCGTGGATGCATGCACTGCCAACCCGATGCGCAAATGGCTGCGGCATGCGGGGTCAAGCTGGCCACACACGCGGATCGTATCTGCAGCTGTGTGCGCTAGAGACATGAAGACTGGTAGCTTGGCACAAATATGTACTCAGATCAACAAGGGCAGGGAGGGCCCCACACCAGGACTCACACAGCCCCAGCACCAGGACTCTCCAATGTGATGGAATTTTGAGAACCAACAACTAGCTTGATGTGCATGTGTACAACTATTTGGCACTACCTTCAGCAGGTGACAACTATTTAGACAAAGAGCACATCCAAACACTGGAGGTGGTGGCAACTCCATGCAGTGTGTACCCATTATGAGCCTGTGCCAGGAATTGACTGCAAGAGTGACATCTTCACTCTTGCGCTGTGAGAACTGTTGGACGAGCAGCTTGTTCGATCAGGCTTAACAACAGAGGCCTCTTGTCAGTTAAAAATATTAGTACATAGTTAGCACCATGGACATCATCTCCAAAGCCATCCATGCTCTTGTCATATCCATCAGAGCTCAATAATGAAATTCTGCAAATCTGCGCAGACACCATGAGTGTACACATACGAATACTGGCAGTTCCAGAGCCAATTACGCACATCCTGATGGATCAACAGCACATCACAGACAAAATCCCAAAGCGCTAGAAAAAGAGTCCTGGCTGTTGCAAGCAACATGCTGCTATGCCTAACAGTGCCAGGTCCAGCAATATATCAAAACTCTGCCAGAGGTCTCTCAAGTTTTCCCACCAGAGCAGATTAGCAACCACCTCTATTGAACTAAGCTCACCTTCCCTACATTTGGTGTGTAGCAACGTAAAAGACAGTCAAACATCTTCATTGACTCATACATGCGTTGGAGGAACAGTTCACACACAAGCTGTGAATGTCATGGACTGGCACAAAGTTTGCGCTGCAAACACTCACATGCACCAGCATCAGCATTCGCATGAAGATCTCCCCCAATAGGCTAAAAGCGGAGGTGCTTGAAGGTGCATCGTCGCCCTCAGCCGTGGGCACGATCAGCGACTTCTCGGTCAAATAACCATCATGGAACGCCTCCAACATGTCATTGCCGGAACACGGACCTTGGATCTCTGCGCTCTTGTCCAAATAATACCACACTAGTCTGGTACCCAGCCACATCTCCTCAGCAAGGGGGTACAAGCCGTCGTAACGCAGCAGGGGAAGCTGCGACTCAACATTGCCCCAGGCTTGGCTGCCCACCGGTCTGATCTGCACGTGACACAAGCACATTGCAAAGCACTGCAGTTGTGCATATGCCAGTTGAAAATGGCACCCAACCAATGATGTTTCTACTTATTAATTGCTATCCATATTGTTACTGACATTTGAGATTCAGTCCAGTAAACACAGTCTGCACTAGTAATCCACAACCTCCAGCAACTCGACAGGAGTTAGATATGAAATGAGATGGGCAACACAGAAACACCAACTTTCTGCCAGTGATGCATGGCCACACAGTTGGACTCGTCGCCAGGATTGCAGTGTTAAAAGGCAGTTCTGACTGCCTCTGAATATATCCCTAAAGATAGGGACACTCCTTCTCATATTGCTGCTCACCATGGACCACAAAGATACATACATGCAGATGATACCAACAACCCTACATGGAGCCCACCCCAATTTTAGCGGTACATCCTTGCAGAAAACAACTGGGAGGGGTATTCATAGTGAGTGCAGCATTTCCGTAATCAAGACAGCAACATTTAGCACAACAGTGTGTGCTTTGATAAACCAAACGTCGAATAGAGACGTGAAGCATCCTTTGGGATGAGTATCTGCAACTGGGACAGCACTCTCTCAGCATGCAACCAGCATCCAACCAGCATCAACCTGACTTATCATGATGAATGCGATCGGTGCTTAAATATGCAACAAAAGCAATAGGCAAGTTGTTTGCTAATCATATTGCTGCAAGGCTATATATCATCTAATAGGTGCCAGGGCACCAAACTATCACATTTGATAAGTCATCACCCTTTCATCTATTGTAGGACTTGGGGGCACTTTGGTTTTAAACCGATTGATGCATTGCTACATTGGTATTATTGATACTAGTATTGACAGCGGACAGAGCACTCCGAATTTTTGCTGTACTGGTCGCATTGGACATATTGTCAAGTTAATGATGACACATAGCATGACTTCGTGTTGCCCTTTGCAGAATTTAATGAACATCCCTTCGGACAGCTAACGTGACTTCTGCACCAGATGCCAGCTCTGTCTGCTCTTCATGTCACATATAGCAGCACACAGCAGTTCACCATCTCTTTCCTTCTTTGCAAACAAACATCACAGTCAGACAACTGCTCACCAATTGCTGTGGATGTAGGCATCGGTTAACAGCCAGCAGCAGCATCTTGGTGGGGTTGATGGCACAGACATTTCGAGACTGGTCCATGTATTCCCAGGCTGCAAAGAAAAAATCTCCGTTTGGATCGTTTACAGCACAGAGAAATCTGTCGAATTGAGGGACAAGATAAGGAATTTGGGTACAGAACGATGTGGTTAGGAACAGCACCTGATATGGGTTGATGCATGCACAAGCAGTGGTTTTTCATGTTTGCAGGATTCTGAATCAATTACTTATGCAAACAGCACATCAGAAGGTCCAACCAGCTCAATGACCATCCTTTACCCAATGCTTATTTGTCACCCAGTCGCAACTGCATGCTCACAATGGGGCAATACTGCAACTGTTCATCTATTCCCACTACTACCCCGGTTTCAGAACTCTTGTTACTTATCAAATTCAAGCAAACACAGGTCAAAAGTGTGAGTCAGCATACTTGACTCATGCAACTTCGCTGCTAAACTAAGAGCTATCTGCACAGGCCTTGAAACACAGCAAACACTTATCATTATTTCAATATGTCAAGATGAGCTGAAATCAAGTGCTACCCTTGGGGAGAAGCATGCAGTGGGGCAGGGCATCACAAGTTCATCTTGCACTTCAACAGAGGTGGAATGGGCGGAGCTGTTGCTGGGAGAGACACAGGCTCTGCTAGGTAACACAAGTAGTGCTTGTAGTGTGTCTTTTGCCAGCAATCAAGATGCCATGCATGTATGTACAACTCCTGTACATATAACCAGGAGATTGGCATTCAATCAGACAGGGCCAGACCCCACACAGGGCAAATGGAGCTTGGAAGCTCTGAAACAAGCTGCACACTCAAGAGTTTAGCGAATCAATTCGATTCGCTTGTCAGCTCCAACTGCAACATTATTTCAATGGTTGTGGCTTATTCAGAATGCTGGAAAGCAGAGTTTTGGAGAAGCGACCCTGTGAAATGGAAGAGAAGGGTTACAAAGATTGTGGATGTCATGATCCTAAAACTCTAGAAAGCTATGGCATGCCCTTTTGTTGCCTAAGACAAGGTACCTTTTAAAGAATTGACAAGTACCTTTACAAGGTACTTTTCAAGAATCTGGGAAAGAGGTAGAAAGTGGGGAATATAGGACTGAGGTGAGCACAACCATATGGGGAACTGGGTGGTAGTGGACAAGGACTTAATGATGTGGTTGTCTTGTTGTATGGTGATGGCCAATGCAACCAAGATCCTCATCAGCCCAATCAACTTGAATCGACTTGAGAACTTGAATCTGGTGATGGATTGGCTTATCAAGTTGATCCTACAAACCTACAGAATTAACTGGCAAGGCTTTAGGAACAGGGACAATACATTTTGTGTTCCAAGTGGAGCATCACAAATCAACTCAGGACAGTTGACAGATACATCAGCTCAGATTCTTGTGAATCTCTGAGCTGTACTCAGAGGGTTTAGCAATGGAGGAATGATGCAAGCAAGGTGTCTCACAGTGGAGTGACGCCAGCAAGAGAGGAAAAAGTATGCGAGCTTGCAATGATTAAAAAACTGTACAGATATGCAAGGACAATCAGCAAAGCAGGGATGACAAGCAAGAAACAATCCAAAAAAAGAAACACTATGTCGATGCACACCACCAATAGAGCTTACCCCATATGAGCTTACCAGTTGCCGGCTCAGTGTGATTACGGCCAGGCTCGGACACATCGTCATCATCTTCTCTGTCAGTCTCTCCCTCACTCAGTGTTGAGCTCCCCTCCTCAGTGCTGCCTGTCAGCACCGCAACAGGGCCAGTGGCAGTAGGTCACCCCTACTTCTTTGCAGCATGATGCTCAGCACAGCTGTGCAAGGTAGCACAGAATGCAAACACAAAGAACAGCAGAATGTGTGCATCTAGATAAACAAAAAACATTCTGTACAGGAACAGATGTACTATCGTTGTGCTGTAGTACAGTTTCTGTGTCACTCAATTTGATTGCGCAAAACAAGACAATTTTGCTACAACCACCACCACGGAGTCCTGATCTGCCTCTATAGACCTCCAACAACAGGTGCTGCAGATGCTTTGCATCATGTCCTTTTGCATTCATTCTTTCCTCATCACCTTCTGGCCGACTCACCGAATGGCATCTATCTTACACTGCACTTGGTGACAGGTCAACTCACCATCAACTTGGTCAGTATCCTCCTCAGAGGATTCTCCACTTGGATCCCAAGCAACAGGATCACCTCTGCTGTCACTGCAGCTTTCATTAGCTCCAAGGCTTGCCCCCGCTCCTGCGCACAACACAAATCTTTCTTCGTTCTCTGTGTGCAATGGCCATTCAGGCCAACTGCAAGATCCACAATGGAGCCAGATATTCAGAATGCCAAGAACTCAAATGCAAGGCAAATACAGGAATGAATTTGAGCAGGTGTTGGCCTTAAGAGGCTCAGGATCTAAGGAATCATGCCAACACAAAAGGAAAACATGTCCAAGGGCATCCCCTTCCTGAGCAGCTGATGTGCGTCAGCCTGGTGGCCATGAAGGAATTATGAAGACTCATGCAGATGGGAGAAAATTGTGTCCCTGAGCTCAAACTAAACCACACAGCACACCGCAGCAAGTGGGCCAAACTAGGCGTGTGCTCAGAGGGCTCATCCTCACCATTGTCTGCCTTTGAACGCTCACAATTTTGGTCCCAGGTCGACAGATCGTGCCCCTCTCCCTCCTGCTTGGATAGGACGGAGCCATCAGTGGCATCCACAGCTGGTCACAATGAACAGACAAATCAACCCTTCAGGAACAGTTGCCACTCAGCGTAATATCCAAACAAAACTCAGCAGACATTTCTGAACTCCATCATCACCATGTGGTGCAAGATTGCCAGGCACAGCCATCAAGTCAGCATCGTCCAAATTCCCACAACTGCGATCCTCAGCAAACCGCCTCCTGATCAAGGCGAATGGTACTGTTCGGCAGATTCTTGAGGGACGAAGTGAAGAAGAACTACATGATTTAAGAATGAAATTTGTTGAACATTTATGATGCAGTTGACAAGTAATACACCTGATTAATATAAGTAAAAGTAATAAAACTTCACAAAGGCGCAGCCACTGTGCCCACAGATATGCAACTACAGTACTGGTGCATGAAGATAACAGAAAAAAGGAGGGTACAACATGATCTTGTGGGATTCCTCCACCTGAACAACATGTTTCATTCTCCTCCCACCCCAATGCCAAAGATGCATCTGAGTCCAGCAACAAAAGGATGCAACAATGACCAGCACATGCAGCATGGGAGGGGTACACACCAGGGTTATGCTGTGCGCCTTCAGCTTCCTCCTCAGAAGGCTCAGCTACTGGATCTGGCATACCAACATCGTCTTTGGCATCAGTGTGGCCATCATCATTTGGGCGCCCCACAGATTCTTGTAAAGGCACAGCAGGCCCTGCAGTGGCAATGGGTGTCAGGGTCAGGGTGTAGCCGATGGTTTGGATCGGAAGCTTCAGTGCACAACAGCAACAGGTATGGAGGGCAGCAATGAACTGCGGGGCAAGACAAGGGGCGTACTGATTTTGGGGCCGCAGTGTGGATTGTTGTAAAGTGCTAAACCATGCCACCCGAACTTGGAGGCCACAACCCATGAGGTTTGACTTCAAGTCCTCAGACTGCAGTTGTAGACACTGACTACTCACAATCAGGCAGTTTTCTCAGAGCAACTTTTCAGGCAACACACCATGGACGCACACAGTCCCTAGTCATCACGAACATTCAGAAAATGGGTGTGGAACCAGGATTGGCACATAGGATAAGGAGAGAATTGCACACATTAGCGCAACATCATAAACCTTGAGAAACAGGGTTGAGGATTGACGACTGGCAACAGGATGAGGGAGGATCACTGTACCCTATGGCTTGCTGCATGCCAGTCGAACCCACCATAGGCAATAGGTCACAATCCCACTGGTAGGTTGGGGTGCGCACATCCCAATGGAAAGTCAACAACACCAACATCTCGACATCCAGGAGAGACGCAGGGAAAGCGCTTTCTGAGGCGCCCACGTTGCTGGCCAGCCGCACGGAAGACGGCATGTATGGCCATCGGCCCCAGCCTTTCGAATTGCACAGCAATCGCTCTCACTTTCGCGCGTGAGGGCAGTGGGGCCGTGGCTTTCGGAGCAAAGCCATGAGGCGCGCACCAAGGCGCGGCGCCCCTGGCAGCCACCGCCGGCGCCCTCTTTAGCCTCCTCCCACCCCCTAAGCCAGCCGAAATGGCAAAAAGAGGCGAAACGTGGGACGCGGAAAGTCCCACTTCCCTTACCAAACCGACCCCTTTAGGCCGCGGAACCAACTGGACCGGGGGCCACCGAGCTGGAGGCCGCGGATCGTGCTCACCGTCTTCACCGCCCCACCCCACCCCATCCCCCCCACCTACCCCACCCCCCCGCCTCGCGACAAGAGCCCACGCTCCCCGGCCGACGAACTGCAAAAGCGGGGGAGCTGCGCGGCCCTTGGACTCCGCTCGCGTCGCCATGCCGCACAGGCGCACCTTGCGCATCTACCACTGTGGGCATTTCCGGATCTTTCCCTTCTTCGCCCACCGCCGGCGAGCTGGTGTCGACGGGCGCCTCCCGCTCCCCCTCCCCATCCATGGCCTCCGCGCGGGTGGGACGATTCAGGGCAAGGCAGGATGCGGGAAGATGGGATCCACGGGAGGCTCGCCGCGTGGAAGCTGATACGTCGGGCGGTCCTGCTCCTCCTCCGCCGGGAGGGTTGCGTCGGCGCGGCGGGCCTGCGGCTTCAGCAGGCTGGCAACGGGTGAGCTCGGTGGCGAAGGTTGGGCAGGCTGGATATCGGTCGTGCTACGATTTTTCCGCTATCCGAATTTTTATCCGAAGCTGGATTGAATGCAACGGATCCACACCTTTTTTTCTCCAAAGGAAAATAATCCTTTTGAGCACATTTTGAACACTGGACGGCCCGAAGGCGAGCAACTGTCTTCTTACGACGTTGAGCTCCTCTTCTTGTGCCAGCGCACAGCCACCCGGCGCCGAGCTGCCAACTGCCTTCTTACTCATGACTTTGTCTTGAGCACCCTCCCTGTCCTATTGTCCGCGGACAACGTTGTCAGCCGTTCGTCGGAATGTGGACATCTGTCGCTACGACAAGAGTTGCTAATTTCGGCAGTGGGAGCTGCGGATTCTGAGGCAAAATCGAGCGCACTCCAGGCAGACGCCCTTGGGTGCCAGCCACACGGCCTCAAACAACCTCAAAACTAGGCCAGGTCGTTGAGGATGGCGCCGGCGCCTTCAGAATCAGGGAAAAAACGCTCCTCTCCCCGGGACACGGAATCAAAGGGCGTGAGAGGCCGAAACTGCAAGGAAAACGAAGAAGACGTCGGCGCGAACGGCAAACCGAAGAGGGCGCTGATCCGGGACGGCAGGGTCTAGAGGTGGCAACCCCGGACATGCCTGTGCGCACTCCCGCTGTAACTCCGACCTTTCGGCTGTGCCTCCAAGGAGAATACATTAGTCCCTCTGTCTTTTCCGTGGGGGTCCCTTCTTCTTCCGCTGACAAGGCCAACGCCGGTCAGTGGGTCATTGGTTTTAGGGCTTGGGGTGTCCCAAACAAGAAAGGATCCGCGTATATTTAACTACATACCAAGCATTTTTGAATCTGGTACCAAACTGCCACCGTACCAAATAAAATTGAAGCTTGCGGCAAATAATATTGAATCTGGCACGAAACTGCAGACGTACCAAATAAAATTGAAACTAGTACCAATACATGTTGAATCTGGTACTGTTCGTGACGCCACATAATGACCACCGTTTTCACTGGGTGGATCACTTATGTAATTGGCGTACGATGGGTATCTACCATATGCGCTGTGCACGCTGCATGGGATGGCCCGAGTATGCCACCATTGCTGATAAAAAAAGGAAAAGAAAACAAAGAGAAAACGCTCCAAAAATGGGTTATGAGCGGACAGCTGCAAACCTTAGGAGTGAGAGCGAGGGCGGTGTAAGGTTAGGGAGACAAGGGCTGGATGTGAGATGCCACCCTGTGTGCTCGACAGATCCGTGTCACCAGTCAGCTCCCCAGACTGGCTGGATTCAGAGACGATTCTGGGAGGTCCTGGACCTCAAGGGCCCAGGCTGAGTGGGTGAATTGGGGTGAGCCTAGCTAGCACATCCCTGGTCTGAGAAAGACCATCTGGGCTGCCTGACCTGACGAGGAAAGGCGTATAGTCCAGTAATTCACATGAAAAAACGGGGTTTCATGTGATGTGTAAGGTTACGTTCAAGCGGAGGTCTTGAAATGCACTTACACACACAGGTCTGACATGGCAGGTGTGCTGGCTCTGTGGGATTTCAGAGACCGAACACGGTGTCAGTCCTTGTGCTATGCAAGGTTATTTTTAGCTCTCTCACTAAAAATCCTGCATGCACTAAAAGTCATGCGCCAGGATGGCCATGACAAGCTCAACACACGATTAGGGTGAGGGAGTGAGAGTCAGAAGTAGGTTGACTCCCCTTACCCTGTGTGCTGATTGTGTGTTTTACACTTCACCCATGGTTGGCTGTGCAAACCACACCGAGTTGGGACAAAGTGTTTAGTTATTGAGGGAAAAGTTGATGAGAGTTGGCCTAGTGGAGAAAAGGAAAACGTGAGAGGGTGGTGGTAGTTTTGACAAGACAAGTGCACCGGATTGTGCATGGTCCTGTGGAAGGACCGGCAACCCGTCCATTGTGTTCTGAATGGGGAGGGCTGAATGCTTTGTTCAGACCCTTAAAAAGGGTTGTTTTGTCTTTAAAGTGGTTGTGTGTAACACCACTTCTTTTTCTATGTTCGCGCAGCTGCCAATGCGTGCTTTTAACCCATGAGTCATGCACACCTTCCCTTGGTGGCATGGGACACTAGGGAGGAGTGGCAACGTGTTGTGAGGGGTTGCGCGGGTGCAAGGGCGCATTTTGTGTACTTGTAGTAGTATGCAATTTTATTAACTTGAAAAGGAGGCCAGTTGTTGAGGTTCTCTTAGAAGAGGCTGCCTAATCTTGTGTGGGCACCTTTTGGAACGTGTTCCTAATCACTCTACTGGGTTTAGTCTTGTGGCTTTGCAATGCTTGAGTAATGTGAGAGGGCTGGACATGTTGCTTTTGAAGTTTGGCTACATCTTATATGTTTTAGATTTGGGGTTGTGTGTATTGCCCCATTGCAACACGTCCTTGTGTTTTAAGTACGAGACAATGCTTTACATGCCCAACCATTGCTATGGCATTCTTTTGCACACGGGAGGCGCAGCCCCATCCTGAAAAATGTGTAGAATGATCTTGATTGTGTAGCCATTTTGGTGACGCCGGTGTTGCGGTTGTGGGGTGGCCTGAACCGTTTTGAAGGGTCAAGTGGACGGTTTGAAGGGGTCAGACCAGTGCATTTTGTGGATGTGCAAACGCTGTTTAGTGATTGATAGGCGTGCGTGTGGCTGTGGGCGTTGAGCACCACGTTAGGCCATACGACACTTCAGATGTCTGGCCATAAAAATGAACCCCGCAGCACCGCAAAGTGCCACACCACAAAACGCCCGCTGAGAAAGCGAGCTGGGGGTGGCGGCCGAGGAGGCCGTGCACCCCCCTCAGAGTGGCAAGAGGGCGGGCACTGCACCCACAAAGGCCCGGTTTCGGCGCCTCGTCCGTTGGGCGGTCTGCCCAACGATCCCTTCAAGGCATCCCTCGAATCTGATTCGGGGATGGCCACAAACGCCCAAAGGACGCCGAGAAGGCGCCCGCCGCATAACCAAGGCAAACACGTGTCCAAGTCAGGAAGGTGTAGAATGGGGCTGGTTTGTAATTTGGCTGTGTGGTGCAGTGGTGTGTGTGTGTGCGCAATCTGTGTAAACGTGCAATTCGCGGCTGCAAACTGGTGCTTTGGTCAAAATGCGCACAAAATGCGCTGATGGGCTGCAGTTGCGCACTACACAAAGTGGCGGGCCGTGTCCTGCCAAGGGAGAAGGCATCAAACACATTTCTGTGTGCTCAAACTGTAGTTTCGGACACTCAATGTTATGTAGCTAGCACGTGGTCCATTCGTACGGGCAGTGACACCTTGGCTCTTGGGTGTTCATTCACAGCTGCCCCTTGATTTTGGCGGCCAGAACCGCATAATGAAAAAGACGCTCTTTAATGAACGGCTGCCACGAACAGTACCAAATTCGCGCCGGTACCAAAAATGTTGAACGGTGTACCAAAAAATGTTGGACCAGTACCAATTAGTCACAGAATGGCAGTCTGCGACCAGCGTTGAGCTCGGGCTTGGTTTAGGTTCTAGAATTTAGAGTTTATGAGCCCTTGTGGCGGCAGCGATTTGATGACTAATTGGTACAGGTTCAACAATTTTTGGTACACCTTCCACATTTTTGGTACCGGCGCGAATGTGGTACCAGATTCAACATGCAGTGACACTCGTTTCAACTTTATTTGGTACGTCTGCAGTTTGGTACCAGATTCAATATTGTTTGGTGCTAGTTTCAATTTTACTTGGTACGGTGGCAGTTTGGTAACAGATTCAGTACTATTTGGTACGGAGTTAAGTAGGTTCCGAACCGATCTTCACGGGAAAGACAGAGCGACTAATTCCATGCAGTCGCCAAACCCGCGGCCTTGCCTGCCTCCGACACAGTCCCACCCCGCAGTCCCACCCCGCACCAGGCGCGACAGCGCGGTCAAACTCCCTATGCGACGCGCGGGGCACCGTCGCCACCGTACCTAACGCGAATTACGTCACTATTACGCACCTGTCGGGCGAGACAGCCCTTGAACGCAACAGGCCAGGCCGAGCCATGACTGACGCCTGCGGCGCGCGGCACCCCGCACATGGCAGCCCCGGAGGACGTGGGCCGCCTCAAGCGGCTGGTGCGCGAGGCCTTCGAGGAGCTGCTGGCCGTGAAGGGCCGCCTGAGGGCGCTCGAGCGCGACGGGGGCGATCGGGGCGCCGGGGATGACGCCCCGGCCGGAGCCAGCCAGGCGTGGGGGCGCGGCAGGCGGGAGAAGGCGGAAAGGGGGTTGCGGGTGGGCCAGGCGACGGTGCGCGGCGCGGTGGACATCGTGGGCCGGGCGTCATGGGTGAAGGTGGGGCGGTGGATCGGGCGGAATCGCCATGGGGGGATTCTTGGGGATTGGACCAGGGAGGGGGGAGGGGGATTTGTTGCTTAGGGGAGGCGAAACAGGTGATGCGGAAGGCAGAACCTCCTGAGCGAGTGTGCGCGAGAGTCTTTGACGTGCTGTGAGAAGATGCGACGAGATGAGCGCACAACACGGGCGCCGCGAAGGGCAAGAGGCGGGAGGGAGAGGGACGGGGCCCTCGGCGAGTTGTTTTGTCTGCGTTCCGCGCCGAAGATGGGTACGAGATGTGTACGATTGCTCACCATTGTTGATTCCTGCTGCCCTCGTGGGCTAGAGTGCTGGGACACTGGAGCCGTGGTGTGGAAGTCCCTGTGTGGACGCAACAACCGCGTTGCACCGTAGGGCCTGAGTACGCTGAAGCGCATGGCTTGCGCCAGTTTTGCCTCTGCGCCCCTGCCAGGCTGTGGCAAGTGGTTGTGATAAGCCGTGCGGTTTAGGACATTCACACCACAGGACAGCAAGGGTGCACATTTTACGGGTGGACACATGAGTACAATGGCAGGTTGCGATTGGCATCGCTTTCTTGGCACAGGCACCGCCTCTGTGCCAGGAGGGGTCAATGCCTTCAATCGCTGACACTGAACCGTGCATGAACTTGTTACGCAAAGGGGCAATGCTGTTAACAGGGCACAGTACTTTGTGTTCTGGGTGTGGAATGCGCAAACAGAAAGAGTGTGATGGGCATCAGGCAGATTTCGGCGAAGAGCTCGTACCGGTAAATGGATTTCATGAGTTTGGCAACACACTGCAAGAGAGGGTGCAGAAGCCACTGATCGCATGGTAACACAAGACGATGGCTTCAAGTGCAGGCAGAGCAATTAACTGTCACGCGCAGGGCAGTTGTGGGATGAGCAGTTTCTGTTGCAGTGCTATTCGCTTCAAGGAACACCTTGCCAGGCTGTGAAGGTGCCAAATTCTATCTTGCAGGTCATGCTTTTCTTTTCCGGCTTTGTCTCATCGGCAGTAGAGGGACTGCCAAGCATGAGCACGAACAAACAAAGCATAAATGAACAAATGCATGTCCTAAAGGTTGGTGCCGAACGTCGCCAGCCTGGTGAAAGAGCTGTGCCTTTTCTGTTACAAATGTGATTGGCTGATGGAAAATAATACGAAAACAAAGATGCAAAACAACAAAATGTCACAAACAATGTTCATAAGGGTTCAATACAAAATGCAGGCAGGAGTGTAAGGAGGCAACTTGGGGTTGTTGTTGCAGGGACAGGAGCATGATGAGACCCATTCTGTGGCCTCCCGTCTCCGGTTGTCACTGCTCGTGCCCTTTGCTGAGGGGCTGGGCACTCTGGTAACTGAGCTGACCACCATGCCACCCGACTCAGCTGTGCAATTGAAGAAGGTGTGTGTGAGGGGGGGGGGGGGGAGAGATCTTGAACGAATGTGAATGTGAATGCATCCTTAAATGAAAGAACACGAAGACAAGTGCCATTCCCAGCATACACCTACAATGACATAATGTCACGTGTCGCCTCATGTCCAGGTACTCATGCAAAATGTCCTGCGTGGTAGGGCGCTCGCCCAACCAATCATCGCAGTGTGTGTGGGGTGGGTGGGGTGGGGTGGGGTGGGGGGGAATGTGGATTGCAATAGCGGAAGCCAAATATCACCATATCACATGCTTGGCTGAACTATGCACCATGTGGTACTAGTGCAAAATGCCAGTACTATGTACGGTGGTAGCACCAAGTACTTGGACTTGTGCCCCCTTTGCCCGGAAACCTAATTTACCCACAAACTGGAATTTCATCCACAGCAAGGCATGTCTTTATCCAACTGAAAACTGTCAGGCTTCCTTCAGTGATTGAAAGACAATGGTGGGTTTGAGAGAGGCTGGCAGCACTGCATTTATCTTTGCACCTGTCTTCAAGACACATCATCACTTCCACTTGCATGTCCTTGTGAGGGCAAGCAGTGCATGTCACCACCATTACTGGAGAAAGGCATTTTTGTGTCATGTGGTGAATGTAATCAAAAACGGGATGTGATGTTAGAGCCACAGGTTTGTTGGTGCAGGCAAGCTATTCTGAATTCTGCAAGGGTGGCATGCCATGTTCCGGGCCCCACATCCTTGACATGGAACTGAACTCTGTGAGTCTACTCAACTCAGCACAACCATACATGAGAGCTGCCCCTAAGACTATTGCCAAAGCTCAACTTGCATGTCCTGAACTGGAAACTAGCAAATATGCAAGCTGGTTGTGTTGATGTTTAGATTTCATGCAGTTTGCTGCATCTCAACGCCATCGTCAATAACCTCTACGCATGTTTTTCTTCAAGTTTCTGTCGCATCATTGCCTCACGTGCATATGTACAAAGGCACTGCTTGTCACATTTGCACAATTTAGTCAAGCTGTGTTGACGTTTAGATTTCGCGCAGTTTGCTGCATCTAACCCCCATCGTCGATGACCTCCACGCATGTTTTTCTTCATGTTTCTGTCACATCATTGCCTCATGTGCATTTGTACAAAGACACTGCTTGTCGCATTTGGACTATTTAGTCAGGAGGGAGAAACTCCTTTAATCATCTTGGATTAGCAGTTGAAGTACATTTAGCGATTGGTGTAAGCGCACTCGTCGTTTCTTTTTGTAGGTGTTGGTGCGGCGCGAATGGCCATCAACTGGCATCAAGGCAACCTTGGCGGCTCGTGGAGGGCAGGCACAGGACATTGTGCCCACTCTAAATCCACATGCAGGTGGGCACGTATGAGGCCAATTACCTGGCTCTTGCCATCCATTTGTCTGTACCAAGCAAGCATGAATTCTCAACCCCTGGTGGATGAGTTCAACAGATTGGTCAATCAATCATTGGGGTCGCAGACATCTGGTTATTAGTGCCTGACATCATCTGCAGTGCGCTGGGCCCATGTGTAGCAATGTTCTGCAATGTAATTCAAGAACTTGTATGTGTGCCTTGCTGCCATGGCACCAATCGTGGGGTTGAGATCATGCGCTTGTCTGCTGTGCCCCCTCCAGTTTCCTGATTTCCTTGTTGAAAAGCATTACCCTCACCAAATTCATTCGCTTGTTGGTGGCTATTTGTCACCTTGGGCACAAGAGAGCGACATTGAGGACTGTTCAATTCTTATCTGCTTCTCCCTCGAGCTTTCACAATTCCCTTGCACAGGCTGTCAGCACCGATTTCTGGTGGCTGGCCTTGGCCCTATTTTTGTTTTGCTGATGCAAATCGACTGAGACCAAGAACACACAGGGCAGGGCTTGAGTGTGATGCACTTTGGAATCAAAAAAGTTATTTACATGGCATGGACATCCAAGATCAAAGGATTCACACACCTTTTTAAATGCAGCCCTGTGTCGACAGAACAGGGTTTGAGCCGCGTGTTGAGCCTTGGGAGCAGCCTGCACCAGTCTTGTGAAGGCGAGGGCTTCGGGTTATCATGGACTAAAGGGGGATTCATGCTGTCAGGGGCCCGCTTCTGGAAAACAGGTGTGAAGATTGTCTGAAACAGGAGTGAGTCATACAATAGGCACATCCTCCTGGGGAAGTTGTTTGCATTACAGACTCTTTTCGATTCTATCAAGAACGGTGCAGCCTCTGGACAGTGTGCATGTTTGTAAACGATACACTACCTTTGTCTCACGAGCCGTGTCCGTTCTCGAATTTGTGCTAAAACCTGGCAAGATCTACTCACTCAATCCGCCACCAAGTTTGGATTCCTTGGTTGATTTTAGATTGATGTGCATCTTTGCTATATTAGCCATCACTGTACAACACGACAACAGCAACCTTGTCAAAAATGCCCCTGTTCAATTCCATGCGCGCTCTCCATTCTCGGCATTGATCCATTGTCCATATTCCGGATGTCCCAACCCCCAACTCACCAAAATTCATTGAGAACCTTGTTGCAAACAATGAATAGGCACTACTACACCCTTTCAACATTTTGATATCATTATTTTCATGCTTGGGGGGGATAGTCTCCTCCAGCAAGCTGAATCATGTTACCAATATTCTCGTTTTCAACGATTTGCCGTGTCTGCCTCAATCTAGGGCATTGTCTTGGGTGACAGAAGTATATATGGCCTTCCAAACCTTGGCAATCTGCAAGATAGATGCACTTGCAGCGATCAAGATGTCTCATGGCCTTTGACCACCGCTTGCACCCGGTTGGTGTTAACACACCAAATCTTGCTGCGGACTTCAATACTCTTCCTTGCCAACTCTGTTGGGCATCAAGCCACATCTTTAGTGGACACTAAACCACCAAAGCAACCTCTCTCGTAGTGACAGCTCAGAGAGATCCACCTCTTTTAAAGGGCAAGGCAAGCATGCCGTATCCCACCCAATGCCCCGACAAAATGCAAACTCGCATTTCAGCTCTTCTTTACATATCACAAGAATGGCAATGCCAATTGGAAAGTTTGAGCGATCTACAGATAGCTCTTGATACGGCGCTTTAAAGGTGTTTCAGTCAAAATTTCTGGCTCACACGGTTTGACCTTCGTTGGTGCAAATGGGAGACCGGACACGACTTCTGAGACAAAGGTAGTATATTGGTCTGCAACAATGGACTGATGTTGCTTGGATTCTGTGCAAAGCAACGCAATCAAGTCACATGTTTGACTTGGGCAAGTTTGACGCACCTGCACACCACATACATGGTCAGCAAGTCGCCTTATTTGTCCTCTTCAACCATGCACACGAACAAAAATGGAAAATACAAAGAAGCGAAAATGCACGCTTCAGAAGAGGCCCTGTTTCCAGAGATATTGCTAACTATGAGCACCCATGAGGTGTCCTGGTTGCTGTTGGGGCTTCCTGTCCATATGACTGAATCGTTGGTGCTCTGTGCACACATGCTATGCAGGTATACAGATTGCTGCTGTGGTAAATGAGTTTCAAGACAGATTTACATTTTGATAGGTCGCTGAGTTTCGATGTTGTGTACATTCTCGTTTTCTTTCATACATCAGCAGTGCCTGTCCTTGTCATGGTCTTATCAGGTGTGTTGATGGTTTTAGTGCATTTTCTGGCATTGGCAACCGTGCTTGGCACCTGCAAGGTGCTGAAGGGCAAACATTCCGGCTGCAGGCGTGCTAATCGCAACGTGCAAGTGTTTGTTGGCTGGCAATAGCATACCATTCCATGGTCGGTCATTGGCATTGGCTGCCAAACAAATGTGCAGATTTCAATCATGTTCATTTGTGTAAGGCTGTGAGCAGCCATGCCACCAAGGGTGAACTCACCTCCGATGATCTTGTGCAATATGGTGGAAAATGTCACTTCTGCTGGCAAGAGTCTGTGTGTGTCATTGTTCCTTTTAGTTACATTTGTCACTTGACATAGCATATGCCCTTGCCTGGAATTGGCATTGTCAGGCAATAGTCTCAGGCACATGCGTTTGTTCACACAGTTCACATCCGGTCAGCCTGAAGGCAAGACTTGCTGCTGGCAAGTGTTAATGCAACAGATGTAGTCGCCTTATGTGTCTTGTGTCTACATATCAACCATGCCCATGTCTGCCGCTCCACATGTGATATCTAGTCTTCCTTCGATTTGCAGAGAGAAGGAATAAAAGCAGAAGTCATGGCGACAGTTGTGCACGGACTTGCCTCCAGCATTCAGCGTGTGATGCCAGGCAAACACAGTCGAATGGGGCATGCATGGTCACAACTTCCGCAATTTTGAATCACCGAATTTCCAGAAACGCATAGATGACAGTGATCAGAATTGAAATGGACTATCACTTTGATTCTCTGTGCACAGCTGCTTTGGTCGTTTTTGCAGCATGCAGCAAACACACTGCTTCTGCGCCAACAATCCCATGATTGGGAAAGAAGTTGAAATGACTGCTGCTGCATGTGTTGCATCAGGGCATCGAGACCATCCATTGACCTCGTCCATTGCACAAGTCGTTGTGAGCCCCCTCAGGGGACTGTCCCTTGGAGCGGTTGCCATGCGGCATGCATCCACCACCCTGTGCGGCCGGATGGGCAGCTCCAGCCCGTTCAGCCCACACCGAGTCGCATCCAGGGAACGGATGGACTCCCCTGCCGAGTTTGCCCACCCAGGCATGAGTCCAAGACACACGTCTGGAATGTCCAGAATAGGGGCGACAGGTGCGGAAAATCCTTGTACAATATCAAACGGGGATGAATGCTGAGCAGTAGAACAAAGGATAGATGAGCAAGAAAACAAATGAGAAAAAAGAAATAAATAGTGAATAGCAAAGTAATGGACCACAAAGTGCTGACATGTCGCAGCTGTAAAAGCTCTTGTGGTATCGATGATGTTAAAGTTGTCAGTGACAATGACTAACACCCCAATCACCTGGGCGACGTTGAGGGGCAGTGTATGCTTTCTTTCTTTCTCAAGATTCAGACCTCTCTCCTGTCCTGGCCAGTGGCAATGGCGCCTCTGCTTACCTAGCAACCGCTATTCTATTAGAATGCTGTCATCTTAGTTGATTTAATTTCGATTCAAGGAAATTTCAACAAGGCATTGCCTCCCAATATCGTTAAGCATCCCATTTATTATGTGGCTGGAATTTTTACAACAGGCATGGCCTGTGTGGCTTGTGCTGGTGGATGCATTTTCGATCTCTCTGTTGTAGTTCATGTAGGCGCACGTCTCTGTGGCATATTGCACTGGTTTGATCCAGTGATCTCACTTGCTGAAGGGTGGGAAAGCACTGCATTTGCAATGAATGAGATTATGACATAAGGGATGGATCAGCAGGCAGAGTGTCAATTGCAGCCATGATTGGCAGCTCCACATCACAGGCCATATAACATCCATTTGCAAAGTGCTGAGCTTTATCTCCTGCCCTGAGTCCAGGCACTTGCACATTGCTGGCCAAATGTGGCTGTCGTTTGTACAATTCTTTCACACCTCATTCCACACACCACTGTATTGATGCCGACCTGTTCACTGCTGACTGGCCTTGAAGCCTATGCCCAACCTACGACTGACTTGCATGCACTGCGTCCACAGGTGCCCTCAACGTTTCTGATGAGGTTCTGGTTTCTGGCTGGGTTGGTGTAGATGTGGGCCGATCCATGCAGTTCCAGAGGCGCCTTGAGTCCTGGGGCCTGTGCGCGTCTTCGTACCCATACCCTCATGGCATTACGTGGCGCACTGGAGTTGGGAGGAGCATGGAGATGTATGCGACCTTGTTGGCACTTTGCAATGCCAGGGAGATTTGCAGCACGCTGATTGCTGTTGATAATCAGAACACAATGGAGGTTCCACAGTGTTCAGCGACCGGCCTCACACCCTGCACCGGACATTCCATTGTATCCACTGTGAAAAGTCATCCTGTAAATCACTGGCCAAAAGAATTGCGCTGTTCACGTGTTTCTCTATGCGTCGGACTCGTGATAAACTGCTGAACGCCATGTGCTTATACTGTGACTTGTGTTAAAGCACAGACAAAATGTGTAGCCAAAACCCATTTTCAACAGTGCAGGGCGCTATGCAGTGGCATTCTGTCAAATGTCATCATAGCAGTGAGCTAACAGTTTTGTATTCCTCGCTTCTTCATTACTGCTTGACTGAAAACAGATTGGTTTGTATGTATGGCAGGGGCGTGCCCTCCACAACCGTGGAGGCTTCCGTGCAGGTGGACGCTGGCTCTGGCATGCATGTCTTCCCTGGCATCGTCCTTCGCCAAAGGCCCGACGGTTGGAAACCCTTTCTGTGCATGCGCTCGTTGTGGACCTTTTGACCTTCGCCACTTCACAGATTCAAGAAGAAGCAACGCTGTCAAACCAAAGGACGGCTGCTGTGCACTGCCTTGCAGATACGTGAGACAGCAGCGTCGCTGAGTCGCGCTGCGGTACCGATCCAAGACGTGCTGGTAGCTGCAAGTGATGTGCTGCTTCTGTTGGTAGAGAATTGAACAAATGACGTGTTGAGAGGATGCCTGAAGGGGTGCTGGTGGGGACGGCCACTGTACTGCACGGCCAGTGCTTGCCCACTTCGGTCCAGCACATATGCATTGGCCCAACAGGGCATGTGAATTGGAACATGATGTGGCTGTCGCCTGAGACTGCATGTCCATGCGCATGCAGGCCAAATCCCCCCTTGATCATTGGGCAGAGCAAGCTGACAGAAAATTTTGAATGAAAACGATCGTGTTCATATTGGGCAGGGAGATTCAATGTGCGATGCAGGGTGGTTTGTTCATTGAACGATGTTTCAACACAGATTGGCGTGATATTGGCCTGATGGCGTGAATGCCGGCGTGGGCTGAATTTGTGTGCCCTCCCAAGGGCGAATGTAATCATCATATATGAGGT